TATATTTGATTTTGGTTCTACCGACTCTTTTATATCTTTTCCCTTTGTTATACAAGCAGGATTCGAACTAGAACCCCTTATTGCATGTGTGTGAGTATCCCTGTGGGGGGAGGCTTAGTAGCTAAGGATAGAGTAAAAGATGACCAAGTAACCATAACCGATCAAACTCGAAGCGTAGCCCTGATAGTAGTTAGCATGATAGACTTCTATGTAATACTAGGCATAGATTGGTTAGATGAAAACCACGCTGGTATAGACTTTCGTAAAAAGGAAGTGATAATTTCATCGCTATCGGGACCCAACTTTAAGTTTAAGGGTACATGCATTGAGACTACCCAAGGTAGTCTCAATGATGAGCTAACTCACTAGTTCAACCAGGGGGTTTGGCGATATTAGCATGTGTTATAGATGTAAGAGAAAAGAAAAATAACCTAGACACTGTACTAGTAGTGAACGAATTTCTAAAAGTTCTTCGCAAGATCTACCCGGAATACTCCCTTCCCAAGCGGTAGAATTTGTCATAGAACTCAAGCCTGGAACTGGTTCTATTTCCAAAGCACTCTATCGCATGGCGGCAACAGAGTTGAAAGAACTCAAGGCACAGTTACAAGACCTACTGGATAAAGGCTTCATCGTACCTTGTGTATCCCCTTGGGGTGCGCCGCTGTTGTTTGTCAAAAAGAAGGATGGATCGATGCGCCTGTGCATCGATTACGGAGAACTAAATAAGAGGACAATAAAGAACAAGTACCTCCTCCCTCACATAGAAGACCTATTTGACAAACCTAAGGAGGCGACAGTATTCTACAAGATAGACCTTCGGTCAGGGTACCATCAAATCAAGATTAAAGAAGGGGATGTACCAAAAACGGTGTTTAGAACAAGATACGGTCTCTACGAGTTTGTGGTGATTTCGTTTGGCCTCACCAATGCTCCAACTGTGTTTGTGGAATTAATGAACGGAGTGTTCAAGGACTGTCTAGACACGTTCGTTATTGTGTTCATAGACGACATCCTAGTATACTCAAAAATGGACCAAGAACACCTCTGAGTTTGTGGTGATGTCATTTGGCCTCATCAACGCTCCAACTGTGTTTATGGAATTAATGAACTGGGTGTTTAAGGACTGTCTAGATACTTTGTTATTGTGTTCATAGATGACGTCCTAGAATACTTGAAAATGGACCAAGAACACCTCCGAAAAGTCCTAACAACCGTAGGAGAGAACAAGTTGTATGTCAAGTTCTCCCAATAATGTATGAACTTTATTGTGATATAATATAATTATAATGTCTACTATGTTTTAAATTCTCTTTATTTTATTTCGCAAAAAATTTGCCCGTCCTTTTTAGAGTCGAGTACCGATCCTTACATAACAAATGTGTCAAGAAGCACGTCCTTACAGACTTATTAAGCTGAATTTGTTCCTCAAAATTGAGCTTATATAGAGCTTTACAACAGGGTCATTTTCCCCCTTTCGCTTAACCTCAATACTTAGAGAAATTCTCATGAAGAAGCCGAGAGCAAAGAAGGTCTAGATCAAGCTAATAAAATGAGTGAAGATTTGGATATTTTTTCGATTAAGAGAATTTGGAAGCCAAACTTTCCTAACTTGGCTTATGTCATTTGGTGAAATCTTTTGCTAGGGTTTCGTGGCAATAAGCGAAACATGTTTCATCAAGAGATAGTAAGCTAAAGGTTAGTGAAGTTAGTGAAGCATGAGAACCAAGAGAGTTTCAAAAGTGGGTACCAAACCCATCAAACAAAAACTTAACTTTAAAATTCTCCCTAATTTTTTAATGATAAAACTTGAAATTGGTTCCATTGTATTCTTAGGAAGTTCTACAACTTTATAGTAAAACTCACCTGGAATGAATGCCTTAAAAATATAAAATCAAAGTAATATTTCAATCACTAGAATTTAGAAACAATGGTGAGATCGATATAGTTATTTATTTATTTATTTATTTTTACTTGTGTATGAATAACTTAAATTGAAAGAACTTTTATACGATAAAATGTTGCATTTAAAGATTTTTGAATTTGTAATTGTTTGCGGTGTTTATGCTTACCCGTGTTAGTTAGCCAAAAAGTAGTATTATATTTATTTATTTATTTTTATATTTAGTTCATACTTATATTTTATTAAATCTGAAACAAAAATGATTTAAAACTTAACCTTCTTGCCCGTAAGCAAAAGGTCTATTATTTATTGTTTCATACTAGGTACATTCTTTCATATTTGATTATAACACAAACTCTCGTCCCTCAACATCAAAATAAGTGTACTTTGAGTTTGAGAGAGAGAGATTGTGTACACCAAGACTATTTTGATCATGAGCAACCACATCCCTTTGCTCCAATCCGAACACCTTTCACGAGCAGCCCACTCTTCCAATGCCCTCCATGTTCATAAAAGCCAAACTCGATCTCGCCACTACTTCCACAACCAGGGTTATCTACCTTGAACTCAATAACAATCTCAAACCACTGGTTTTTTGGCTTCCCCAACAGGCATTCCTGGCGCTCTATCTTGCTCCCATCTGGCTTCTTCAATTCGATGTTCATAGGAAGATTCCATCCGGAGGCTCCACTATTTAGTTGTACCTCAAGTGCTACTACATAAACAATATTTGGTGAGAGCATAAACTCCTTGATCTTTCCACGAATGTCCAGCCAAGACACTTGAATAAGTTCTGCAACATTGCTGTTGCCACTGCAAGTTTTTAGACACCCGTGTGAGAGAGATCAAGAAATCAATATCATTTTTTTCCCTTTAAAAATTAGTTAAAGATTATACCAGGATCCCCATTTCCAGTATCTTTTATCTTCAATCCAGGCGATTGAGAGAGCTCTTGCAAATATAAAGTACCAATGGCTGTTTAACTTCTTATCAAAGATGTACTTCTGCGTAAAAAGTAAAAGGGAAAGAAAGCAAATATTTTGATTTAATATGTTTATGATATACAAAGGTGAAGTTGAAATTAATATATATATACATATATAGTTGCACTTACTATAGCTCCCTTGTTCAGGAGGATCCCAGCAACAAGTTGGTCATAAAGCTTAACGAAGGAAGGATAGTGCAGTGCTACGTCAGCATTCTTCAAAATAACATCCAAGCAATGGCCAAGCTTCACTTCTCCTCCTAATTTCTCTCTGGCTTCCCTCTCTTTGTTGTCCATTATAGTGCCTTCTTTTTTATGAACTGAATTGAGATATGAGTTAAAAGTGAGAGGGAAGAAGGGATATATATAACCCCTTCTTTGGTACAATATTTTGAAGATAAGCCATGCACAATTGTTATATTATTTTCCGTTTACGAGGTTGTAAAAGAAATGAAAAGACATTTTAATTCTTTAAAAAAGTAAATTTTATGTATTTTACCTTTTCATTTATATTTGTGTTTTTCTATAGTTGAAAAATAATTAACAATATTTTAATATATATTTAAATTATTTGTAAATAAAAAAAGATGGCCCTTTATTCCGTTCTTTTAAAAAGTAACCGAGTACTTTCGAATAATACTTGATGCAAGTATATCTCATTTTTGTATGAAACATTATTTAAATATAATATTTTGTTCGTTAATAAATTATAAATCTAGAACGGTTTTTTTTTTTTTTTTTTTTTG